AGCTGTAGACCATGCCCAACTCGACCAACATAGCCCTGCCTTCCATTCCATCCAGGTCGACATTGCGCAAATCATCCAGGCGCTCTTCCAGCGTCAAAGTTCGTTGGGATTTCCGTTTAGCTCCAGGGGCGTTCGTTGTAGGCCTCGATTTTGCCGTCTCCTGTGTAGCAGGTTTAGTGGGCCTTGTCGCCGGATGCAGCCGCTTTCCACTGGGTCGGGAGCGTCTACGTTGACGACCTTACACTGGCAATGCGAGACCCCAAGCCATTCCTAGATAAGTTAACCAACGAGTATAAGTTTAAACTTAAAGGTTCTGGACCACTGGAATTCCATCTAGGATGCGATTTCTTTCGAGACGAACAAGGCGTGCTTTGCATGTCCCCTCAAAGATACATCGATCGAATGGTAGATACGTACCAACGAATGTTTGGCCAAAAGCCAAAGACCAATGTGACGTCGCCCCTTGAAAAGGGAGACCACCCCGAATGTGACACATCCGAGCTTCTGGATGAGCAAGGTGTCACTTGGTACCAGTCATTGGCCGGTCAACTTCAATGGGCTATCTCTCTTGGACGCCTGGACATAGCGACCGCAGTTATGACCATGTTGAGCTTTCGCTCCGCGCCAAGACAAGGCCACCTTGATTTAGCCAAGCGAATCTGTGGCTACCTTCTGAAGATGAAAAACGCAGCCATTAGATTCCGAACCGGGCTACCAGACTACAGTGACGTAACTGAGCCAGTCTATGACTGGGCAGACTCAGTATATGGCTGTCCTACCGAACAGATCCCTACTGATGCACCAACACCGTTGGGCAAATCAGTAATCCTGACTCACTACGTGGACGCCAACCTATTCCACTGCATGTTGACTGGTAGATCCGTAACAGGTATTCTACATATGATTAATGGAACACCTATTGATGCCTTTTCAAAGAAGCAAGCTACCGTGGAGACTGCCACATACGGCTCCGAATTTGTCGCAGCCCGTACCTGTGTGGAACAAATCATGGACCTACGATTCACACTGAGATACCTCGGTGTTCCTATTCAGGGACGTAGCTACATGTTTGGAGATAATGAGTCTGTTGTTAACAGCTCATCTCGACCAGATGCAAAATTGCACAAACGACATGTCGCGTTGTCGTTTCATCGTGTTAGAGAGGCTGTAGCATCCAACATGCTTTCCTTTCTACACATCGATGGTGTCAAAAACCCGGCTGATATCCTAAGCAAGCATTGGGGATATCAACAGATATGGCCGCAGCTACGTACACTACTCTATTGGGTAGGTGACACAGCTGGTGAGGACTAGGTCCTCAATCACTCACCCATTTGGGGAGTGACAGAATTGTATCAAGAACGGGTTCGTGATTCGGACCTATACGATTCAATTATCAGCGGTCTTATGGGTCCTATAGTAATTAGTAGTAAAATAGATATATGACGTGTCATCGGATGAGAGCGTTGAGAGCCACACATCAACGCTCGTCAATTCCCGATCGACTCATCGCGTCGTGTTTTGTTTACCTTGAATTGATATCTTATCTTCTAGTGTAATCTCGAGCGTTCACCCAAGAATAATTATATTCTGTCAACCAGTCTGGCTCGCGCCATGAGCTCCCTTCCGGCAGGTGTCCAACGTTGGACCACAAAGCATGTTGTGGGTATGTGTGGTGTAGGGAAGTTCAAAGTCCGGTGGGGTGCCGCAGACTCAGCTGCATGTCCCTGCTGCGGCGATTTTGAGGACCACCTTCACGTCCCTCGATGTACGGCGCCGTCGGCTAGTGCGGAATGGGAGCGCTGGACGGCGTCGTTGGACCAATGGTTGGACACCCAAGTCACTGACCCAGCCATCAAACACGCTATCCTCTACCTTCTTCAAGGGGTTCGTGATCCGTCCCTACCTTGCAGTCGGTTGGTTCCGGTTTGTCTTTGCCGCGCTTTCCTGTCCCAACAACGCATCGGCTACCAAGGTTTATTGGAAGGCCGGCTGTCTGTTCACTGGGCGGCCCTGCAGGAACAGTACCTTCAGTCACGAGGGAGCCAACGCTCTCCGACCCTGTGGGTCTCTCGCCTATCGCATCAGCTGATCTTGCTTGGATTTCATATGTGGGAACACCGGAACTTGGTGCAACATTTGGAGGACAACGTACAGCTACGCGAACGTAGCCGATTGGTGAACAACGGTATACACTCTCAGTTTGATGTGGGCCCAACCGACCTCCCCAAGGTAGTTCAACGCATGCTTGCTGTGAAACGCCAAACTGTGTTGAACAAGCCGTTGGTCGATAGGGAAGAGTGGCTGAAGCTGGTTAGAATGGAACGCACGGCCTATTGTTGCGCTCTGGTGCCCCAACGCCATATCCTTCACCGCTTCTTCCACCCGGCCCAGGCCCCCTAATCCCGTTTCGAGGAATCAACGCCCCAAAATCACCCTGCCTTGTCGCTGGTAGAGTTGGGATCCCCTCGATCCTGACTAGAGCAACTTCTGTCCACCAGATGTCTCCAATGGTTCAAACTAGTTGTTGACTTGTCGCTTCACGGTACTTGACCTTTACAGCCGCTTATTCCACCAGCAATCGTATGCGCTAGATAGCATTTAACGGTCCTTCCGCCGCTCAACAGGACATCTGTAGGTGGAAGACTGATGATCCAAAACCTTATCCAGGCCTAAAATCAAAATTATTCCCATACAAATGTTTTAGTTTAGGTCCTTAGGTTTCATCCTATCTGGTGAGCACTTCTCTACTATGCTCTAGAAAGTCACTGTAGCCCAAAAACGTCATCAGCTCCATTGGACAGAAATTGAAAATTTCCGATGTCCAAAATGTGCTAGCAATTCACCAAGGAAGGCTTCAATGAAGCTAAAAATCGAGACACAGATTGTTCATGAGTCGTACTAGGCCACACTGTGCACATTCGATCCCCATAACATCCAATAAAATCTCGGAGGAGGTTGATTGTTACTGCTCTTATATTGCGTCTGATGTCGCAAATCCACGTGGTTCAATCGGCTGGTACACAGCCAATACAAACTCCAGACATGGTACCAAGCCTCTTCATAACACGAATAATGAGTTTGACCGAGGTATCAGATCTCCTGGGAGCGTCGCGATTGTCCAAAATTGACAGCATCACCAACAGATATATCAAATAACGTAAAATCAGCACTTGCACCCAGCAGAATCACCATGTCCAACGTAGTGGAGTCAGCAAATACCAATGATACAAAGGCTAGTAGATAAAAATCCGATAGTGAAAACACTCGGGATAGCCAAAGGAAGTAGTTAGATCCACAGGGTGCAAGCAGAAGCACCACAGCAGTGTCGAGGAACACTATAGGCTCCTTATGCCGTTCTTTGTCTCATTCAGCTTGCTCCTTTAGTGTTACCTGATCTTTGCAGATGTGTCATTGCTAACCTGAAATTATCATGTGTTGTTGTGCTGTGTGCATATACTGGGTACTGTAGTCGAAGAGACGATGATGCAGTTTTATTGTTGATGTGACAAATAAAGAATGCGCAGCTTGTTCTAGAAGATGCAGTATGTTCATGAGTCGCCTTGCATCTTCAAAAGATCCCATCCTCATGGTGTACATATTCTTCAAGCCATTGCTTCCAAGTACGTCTGAAGCACACTTGAATGTAAGCCTCGGCTCCTTCTTGGAAACTTCAATCACAAAGTTTTTGACAATGCACAAGTTCAGACCACCTGCTTTGGTGAGTTCATTGTGGTAGGTCAATTGTCCCAGTCCTCGGCTATCAAATGCATAGCCGTCACATCTGTTGATGAAATTGACACAAAGATGTCCCCGTCCATAACCATTCCAACCGCCCCCTGCAGTGTCAGAGGCTCTGTAGAACTGCACATTGAAAAAGTCGTTGAGTTTTGTAGCATCAAACTTCATATTGAAAGTTCAATCAACGAATGTTAGGTTTTTGCGGATGATGGTGTCCAGATTATGACGGTTCCCCACCTCCAAATAGTCCCACGTTTCCCGTTTGAACATATTTTCATCAAAACCGGTGACTGTTGTCATGCCAGATCGCGCGGGAGCATTACATTATTGTTTTTTGTGTTTGTCGTACAATCTATATGCAGAATTCAAAATTCAAAATAACGGGAACATGAAATTCTATTGCACTCACCATGGGTTTCACCAAAACACGCCATTCAAATTCAAAACCTTCCCGCAGCAACAACAAAACCAGAGCCGGGAAATCTAAGATGTCATCAAAACGGCAGTGCCCGGTCACAAAAAAATACATCCACCGTCAGAATGTTCTTCAAATCAGGTGTAATCGGTGCCCTTGGAATCGCTTCTCATGTGAAAGTGATTCATCGGGAGGATGGCCATGCTGAGATGTCTCCACCTATATCTGATTCTAATTGTCAAATCATTCTCGAGGACTTTTTGGGCTTGCTCACAATCAATTTGGTGGTGATCGCGGATACAGATGACGCGGTTGCTACCATGACCACTATTGAGAGACCAACCTTGGCGGAGAGCGATGACAACGACGACGACGAAGAAGGAGAAGAAGAAGTCACTGTGGAGCAAGGTAAAAGCAAGAAGAATAGGAAGAAAACTACCTCTTGGACTCCTATTGAATGTGATGGCGCAATCAGTGCTTTTTGAATCATCCCACATGTGAAAGCAATTGATCATGAGAATGGCAGAGCCAAGATCTCCACACCGAGATCAGGTTCCTCTCATGGTCAGATTGTGCTTGAAACCTTCACTGGTGTGCTCACAATCAAAATAATGGTGGTGATGGACCCAGATGATGTGCCTGCAATGACCATTTTTTAGAGGCCAACTTTGATGGAAAGCGAGGACAATGAAGCAGCCGTTACAAAGCAAGGCAAAAGAAGGAAGAATAGTGGGAAGAAAACTTCCGCTGTTACTCCTATTGAATCAACTTTGGACGAAAGCGAAGACAAAGTGTCCATTGTGGGGCGCAATGTTGACAGTGAACCTGCCAATCCAGATGGTAACGATATGTCCAACAGTGACAGTGAGGATGATAACGACAAAGAGGAGGTGACAGATTACTACGATAAGATGAAGCTTGCCAAACTCTGGGCTGTTAACAAAGAACACTTTGGCAAACAGCCCCAAAAACTCAGGATGCATGACATCGTGCAGGTTCTTCGTAAGGATGATCTTGACAATGAAAAGGAGAACCACACCGCAAACAATATAGCTTCTCGTCCAACTACTGTCAACTGAGGGCATAGTCAAATTCTAATTTGATACTAAGTGATAATTATTCAAAGTCTACTCTTTTCATGATGTATAATCTATCCAGCCATGCTTCTCATCAGTCACCTTTTCAAATCAATCATCAGCTTTGCTCGTAGACATGTGGCTTGTTTTTTCACCTTTTCTTCATCATATTCTCTGTTACCTGAAAATCTCTCTTTCCATTCATTTAGCAATGGTACTGGGGTCCAATCAGGATTTTCATCAAGCATCAATTGCAACTCCGCTTTGATCTCTGGAGGAACCAATGGTTCTGAGATCTTCTGGAATGAGATGATCTTGTGGCCGTTTTGTTTTGATTGCTGCACCAAACTGGAAAACATCCAAACAATTTCATGAAGTCCAGGATAACAATAAAAGCCCTGATGCTCTTCCTTCATCAGTGCGAGAGTCTGGGTTGGGCTCTGTTTATCCCCTTTATTAACAATACCACGGTTGAATTGAACAAAGCAAATTTTTTTGAATTTATCATTCATGTAGTTCCTTCCGTACAGTCCTCCGCTCATGGGTCGCCTTGCCCAACCTTGAGACCGCATCAAAGGCTCTAGTGGACGCCATTGATCAGCAATCTTGTATTCTTTCATCTTGGCATTGAGTGCCGGTGTGATGGAGCATTCAGCCGTGTTAATGTAATTTTGAGCCAGTCCGATGGCCCGGTCCACCACCCTTCCGCTGTCATACTCATCCTCTTCAATAATTGTCTTCTTTTTCTTCTCTTTCGTCGCCTTTGGCTTGGTGGGATAAAAAGTGCAAAAAGGCTTGTACCATTTAACTTGTACCTGAGTGAAGAATGTTGTCTTGTTGTAGTGTTCCTTTGGTGCTTCTTTGAGAAGGCGGTCGGCACTTGCCTTGACCTGGTAACTATCTGCTTCTTCATCCACACTTGCCTCGCCATCACTGTTGCCATCCTCAATGTCACTATCCAATGCTGTGTCATCTTGCTGGCCTTCTTCGACGTATGCTACAGTGTGCTCAATCTCCCAATAGTACAATTCAAAGCAGTCCGACTCGCTCACGTCATCATTCATGTGATTCTCTTCCGCTTCCAATAATTCGCCATTATGTTGCACATCCTCGTTGTTGATGGTCTTATGCCCGCTTGTAACTTCGAACATGGCTTGCTTCATGACTTCTTTTCCAACTTTCGCCGACTGAATATGAGCATTCAATCAAGCAATTACTGATCTCCCGACTTTGCAAGCATCAATATAATCCTTGGCTCTCTGAATTTTATTCGAGGCTATAATGAACATTTCCATTTTATTGTACCAATCTGGCTCTTGGGGAGGATCAACAGCAGGGGTGAAAGAGCCTTTGCCGTTCTTCCAGCCTGAGAAACCAGCTCTAAAAACCATGCCTTCGGATATGCCGGAGTAATTGATGACTTGTACTAAGGGTTGCGCTGAGCTCCAGGTGGATTCATTGTTCAAATCAAGCCTGGACCAATTGGCAAGCCCATCAAGATCCGGAAAAAAACGGATTTCATTTGCTCTAGCAAAGTATTCTTTTGCAGCTTCACCTGCGCCAGAACATAATTGCGAAATTTTGTCAAGACGTTGGAAGTTGAGTTTGACCAGCTGAACTGCTGGAATAAAGGCAAGATGGGAGTTCATGAGAAAACAGATGCTATAAAAACAGACGAAAAACTAATGCCTTACCAGAGTTTTAATCGGTATAAGTTTACGGTACCGATTCCAGAAAGTTTTACAGCGAGCCGCTTTTCTATGAGGTGCGCCGTAATAAACGTACACAAAAAACGTGCATCCCCACGGGCGCATGGTACTTTCGGATCTTGGATGATTTACTCCCGGCAAGGGTTTTTTTGGGGGTACAATTTATAACAGTTGAGAACTGTTTTTGTTTTGTAACTATTATGGACTGTCTGTCCGTCTGTACCAATAATTTGTGTGACCAAAAAACAACAACGCGGCCGATGATGTTTTTTGCAATAACAACAGTGTGTTTGTAGCACCAATTGGCGACAGCAATTTGCGAGTGCTACACAGCCGCAGTATTCGAATCAGCGCTTGTTTGTGCTTGCCTTTTGACTGGAAGATTGTGATATCTTGTTGGGCTTGGAATCTTTTGTCTTTTTGAGGAGTGTTTTGGGTTGTTTTTCAGTTTTTGTTGATTGTCACCTGAGCGTTCTCCTCCACTGGTTGCTAAGGAACTCCAC